CCAAGAGCCCAAACATGACATTTTGAGATGTGTAGACTCCTATAATCACTGCAAGACTGTTTACAATAGCCAAAATCTGGAAATAATCCAAGTACCCAAGAACAGATGAGTGGATAAAGAAACTGAAAAGATTGCTACTCAGTTAAAAGAAAAAAATAAGAAATCCTGCTATTTGCTGCTACTTATATGGAATTAAAGGGTGTTGTGCTGAAGGAAGTCAGACAGAAGGAGAGGGAGACATACAGAATCATCTTGATCATGTGTAGAATATAAAGAACCCTATAATAAAATTAGAAAGTCAGCGGAGGCTGGAGAGGTAGTACAGGGGTAAAGATTTTTGCCCTGCATGGAACTGAGCCCAGTTTGCTTCCAGACACAATATGGTTCCCCAACCACAGGTTCACCAAGAGTAACCTTCCGGTCAAGGTAGTATCTGGGCCAAGAGTAGTATCTGGGCACTTAGTACGTGTGACCCAAAAGCACCACAACAGAAAACCACAACCAATGATAACAACCCCTGACAGTAGGACCACAGTACTGAGTTTGCCAAGGAAATGGGGTGTAGGGAATAGAAGGGACATGGAGATGTTGATGGAGGGACTCTGACACTGTGGTGGTAGTTGTGGTGTCAGAACAGTGTATGCCTGAAACAATACTATCACCAATACTGGAAATCACAATGCCTAAAAAATAATTGAAAGAAAAAAAGAGGATATTAATTTTGAAAATCTATTTCACAGGCATTGAAAAGTATTTTACCCTTATGATTCTCAAAACTGTTAACGTTGAGAATTAGATTCTTTCTAGTCTGTGTTGAGCCCACAACGAACTTTCAGTATGCATTTGCCAAATTACTAAAGGACATTTCACCATTAGTTTTCAAATAATTAGTTGCTTTCACTTATTACATATATGGCATATAGGAGAAAAAATGAAGAAAAATACTTTTTGGTATTTTCATTTGCTATTTTCTCATTTTTCCTTAATAAATATTGATTCATTTTGTGGTTAAAATAGAAAACTCACATGATTTTTATTATATAAAGTAGTTCACAATATTTGATTATATTTAATATTCAAACAACAATCCCACCATCATTACACCTTTCCACCACCATATTTTAGATGTTTCCATCTTGAACCCCAACCCCTGCCCTAAAGTAGAACCAAAATAATGTATTTTGTATTGTTTGTTATGAAAAACCGCTGAAAATGCTACCAAAAAATTTCCTTAGAGGAAAGAGTGTGACGATTGTTGTATTTCACTGAAGGGCCATTAAGCCATTCTATAAGAGATCACTTGTTAAAGGTTGAAATTTGGGTGTACATATATATATATATATATACATACAAGTATATATATACACAAATATATACACACACACACACACATATATATATATATATATCTGTAAAAAAACATTTCCCTCTAAGATGGGATGCCTTCTACTTTGAGTGTCATCAAATGTGATGTGGTACTCTTGGAGTAGGGGTAGGGTGTGTGGTATGATGTGTCTCACAGCCTCACTCACAGCCACGCGGTCCAGGAATAGATTCACTCAAAGATGAAGCTCCACTTGAGCATGTGGAGAGCTGCCACGAGCAAGGCAGAGTTGAGTTCTGGAACTTTTTGACTGCTAGGGCTGGGTCCCTTGCGGCGGGGAGGGGCCTCACCTGCCCCCCTCCAGGCATCCCAAATGACTGGCTTGGGGTCTGGCGGCATGGTTATGGCGAGTGTCATGTTGTCAATTCACATGATTTTAATGCTACGTGTGTTCACCTTCCTTTCACCATCTTGGCAACTTTTATTTTGGCCTAAAGATGAAAGAAAACACAAGTATTTGGTTGCTAATTTTCTATCACTCTGTACACCTGTGGTAATCTTTCTATATCTTTAGAAGTTTCTCTTCCATTTCTCTTACTTGGCCTGACACTTGTCCTTAGAATCTAGTTCTACTTAAATTGCTTTTTACTCCACCACCACTACCACAAACTCCTCTAATCACTATGCTGTGAGAAATCCTGATCAATGTTCTCACCCTACCCTCTTCCCCGAGTCACCAACTAATATTTTTTTAAAGGTACAAGGAAAACTATTAAAGGAAAATATTTTCTTGACATTCTTTACTAAATGATCTGGAGAAAAATAAAACTTTAAAACTTTGGGTAGTTAATGCTTTGATTTTCATTTTCTGTCTCATTTCCATGATCTGCAATTTTATCCTCAGGGTAGATTGAGCTTTCTCCATCTATGAAAACCCAGAGGTTGAAAGAATTGCTCAATTGGAAAAAAATACCCTAGATGAACATGTGTATGATTGTACTTACAAAACAAAAGGTTCTAAATAAATATAAGGTATTATTTCATCATTTTAATACATCTAATATTCATTTATATCCATACACATGAATTGTCGAGAGAGAGGTTATTGTGTATAAATTTCTATTCTAATATCATCCTGAGCATAATGCATTTGTTATTGATTGCCTTCAGTATCAGAATAAATAAAATTTGTGTCAACATTTTTAACATGCAATAAATTAATTGCTGTCTCTCTTAATTGTTTACTTGTAACCCAAGTATTTTTCAAAGTGTATTCTAAAATAGCAAATGCCCATCCCTATTATTGGATTAAAAAATAGAGAGCAAGGAGAATTTTATAAGGACGTTGGAGGATGTTTAACATACTTTATTACCACTGCAAAAATCCCCATCATATCAGGTAACCATATACCAGCACTGAGTGTTTTGTCAGATAATGGAGGAATATTCATTGAATTGAAAATAGCTAGAGTCCTACATTAGATTACAACTTTTATATACAGGAGAAGTACATCACAGCAAATGCCTTTTCTTCTTTTTATCTGCCTCCCCTTTCCCTTCAGGCAAAAAAAAATAAATGAAAAATGGCTCTACCTTCAATCAAATACCAAAGATAAAATGCCGATTGCTTGCTTCACTGCTTACAATGGATGTATAACAAATGTTAATCTATTTCTGCAGCCAACAGAGAGGGGAGGTTGGAAAGGGGAGAAGGGGATTAGAAGAGTTTTTCCTTGGTGGCATTTTTGAGACTTCGAAATGCTCTCAGAAGCTACTTAACAACAAAATCAGTTGATCCCATTGTTATTCCTCAGAATTCTGCTTCAGTGTATCACTGTCCAGTGAGGAAACTAAGGTGCTGGAGTGGCAATAATGCATTGCCCATTGATATTTCCCCAACCTTTTAATTATAGTACTTTAAAGAAGTCTTACAGAAATCTCCTGATCTGCATAAATCCTGTATCTCTGGGGCTAGGACCACCAGGGAGAAAATGAAAGCCTAAATCACTATCTCAAAGACTCCCGCCATGTTTTCCTTCTGAAACTCTAATTCTGCCCAGCTACCACCCTCACCATCCATACTTTTATGCCATGCCCCACACCCTACATAGCATGGTGAAAGTATATGTCAGACAGTCTCTCCTTCCTCATGGCTAATATATGGTTCCCAGGCAACTCTGGCTTCTGGTCTCTCTCCTTTACTGAAGCCACCAGTGCTCCTCAAGCACTAGCACCCACTAGGGCAGTCATGACCCATCACCATTGCTCTATTTTTTAATCCACTCACATCTACTTACACACAGTCGACCCACGTTCGTTCGATTCCTCCCTCCCTCTAGGATAGCCTGGAAAGCTACCGAGAGTATCCCGCCCACACGGCAAAGCCTGGCAAGCTCCCCTGGCATATTTGATATGCCAAAAACAGTAACAACAAGTCTCACAATGGAGATGTTACTGGTGCCCACTCAAGCAAATTGATGAACAACGGAACAACAGTGTTACATCTACTTAGCTGCTAAGAGGTAAGATTTATTCAGCTTCTGATTGGGGGAGGGGAAGGGACATGTAAAGAAACATTTTTCCTTCCTTACTGTAACAGCTAATTTTTTAGTTATTTATTTATTTCTATTTTTTTATGAATCACCTTGAGTTACAGTTACAGACTTACAAACTTTTGTTCTTATGTTTCAGTCATACAATGATCGAGTACCATCCCTTCACCAGTGCCCATTCTTCACCACCAATGATCCCAGTATCCCTCCCACCACCACCACCCCATCCCCCCCACCCTACCCCTCCTCTGTGGCAGGGCATTCCCTTTTGCTCTCTCTCTCTCTTCTTTTGGGTGCTGTGGTTTGCAATAGAGGTATTGAGTGACCATCATTCAGTCTATAGTCTACTTTCAGCCCACATCTCCATCCCGACTGGGCCCTCCAAGTATCCTGTATTTGGTGGTCCCATCTCTATCTGAGCTGCCTTTTCTCTCAGCATGTGAGAAAGTGGAGCAATCCTCCTGGTACTTTTCTATTCTTGGGTGTTAGTCTCCCATTCTGTGTAACAGCTAATTTTATGTGTCAATAACACTAGGACATAGTGACCAAATGTTTCGTCAAACACCAATCTAGATGTTGCATGAACTATTATTTAGATTAACATGTAAAGCAGTAGATTTTTAGTAAAGCAGGTAGCCCTCTATCATGGGGGTAGTTATCATTCAAATAAGTTTAAAGATTGTCAGAGAAAAAACTGCAGTTACCCAAAGAGTGAGCCTCTACACTGCCTTTATTTTATTATTTAATTTTGATAGGAAGTAAGATATATTTGAGTAAGGCTAAGAAGAGGCAGCTCTGAAACTTGTAGTAGTGCAGAACACATTTGTACAGAGGGTCATGACTAAGAATGTATTTGACTCCACTGCCATCAAAGATAAATTGTTTTTCATCTATCATGCCTTTGAACTCATCCATGTTAAACTTGACAAAGGTCCAGTTCTTGGAGATAATTTAAACTTGGAATTGGAGATTACTTTGAACTTAGCCTTGTGCAGAAGCTTGGTGACTTGGCCCTTGTGGATCCTGGCCACTGAATGCTGAGGCTTCCCAAAGATACCTGGACTCCTGTCTTGTGTATTAGCATGAAAACAGCATAAGGGAAGATATAAACATGAGTGGGAAAGGGCAATCTCCAAGGTCCTTTAGGACAACACCTATGAGCAACATGCTGCAGACACTCCAAAGAAAGCTGCTATATACAGATTCTGTACTCCAGACTGCAAGGGGGAAGGGGTTTAGCTGGCTTTACTGACTGCAGACAATTGACTGCATGTCAAGACTTCAAACATCATCTACATCAGTGGGCATGGGCATGTGGGTAAACAGTAAATTGTATGCTTTGTATGAATGAGACATTATTTTTTCCTGGCATCAAAAAAAAAGGACTTCAGTAGATACGGATGCTGTCAGGTAATGAACAAATAGCTGAAGAGCCAGTCCTTCATTTCATATTTTTGCTTAAAATCCAGTGAAAGGAGTGGGAGTGAGGAGGAGAGAGTGTGGGCCCCTCCTCCAACTCAAGGGAACCTTTCCTTCCTCTTATGTTCTTTGGTTCTGAAGAAAAACAGGTCTTCCATTTAATGGGACCCTACCAGTGGTGAAACCATAGATCTAAATGGACACTTCTGAACAGATGCCTGACTCCAGCATATACTTCATATTTAATGAGGACTGAACCTTGATATAGGATGATGCTTCCCTAGAGTTTCCAGAAGGGGAAGAGTTCCTCCATACCATAAGACCAAACAGTGCAGGATTCCATCTGCTTGCTTGCCATGGAACAGGAATTTGAACAAGACCACAGCCAAGATTTCTCTCCTTTGGGATAGACATAGAAAGATTGCATTCATCTGGGGGATATAAAGTAACAAAATATGAGATTAATACCCAAGAATAGCTGAGATCAGCACCAGGAGGATTACTCCATAGCTTAGAGGCCAGCCGGGCATTCTAGGGGAAAGGGCAGCTCAGATAGAGAAAGGAGCACCAAATAAAGGATGTTTGGAGGATCCTCCCAGGAAGTGAGATCCATGTTGAAAGTAGACTATGGACTGAACATGTTTGCCACTTAAAGCCTCTTTTGCAGACCACAATACCCAAAAGGAGAGAGAGAACACAAGGGATCGCCCTCCCACAGAGGCAGGGTGGGATGGGAGGGATGGGGGTGGGAGGGATATTATCCATGGTGGTGGAAAATGGGCACTGGTGGAGGGATGGTATTTGATCATTGTATAATATAAACCCAAGCACAAAAAATTGTAAATCTACAGCTGTACCTCATGGTGTTTCACTAATAATAATAAAATAAAAACCTTTAAAAAAAGAAAATACTGAATTTCTAATACTGGATAGGAGGTGAAATCACAATCACCGAAGAAAACTAGTGTGAACTTAGCATACCCTCCTTTAAGTTTAAAATTTTTAAATAATGAGCAGAAACTCCACAGGAAATAGAGTTCAGATAAAAAAATTGAAATGAGAAATTAAAATTTGGACAACATAAAAAAAAGATTTCTCTCTTTTGATTCTTGCTAGCTGTTAAAACTCTGGGTTTTTCTAATCATATATAAATTTGAGTCTGACGTTAACTTGTAATCTCTGTATTAGAAACTCAAAGTACTGGTTATCTAAACATGGTTGACTCTTCCTAATCCACACCCTTTCCATGTGAACTCAATCTGTTTCATCATCCTGCATCTCTTTAAGAGTCAAACCCATCATTAAAGACGCTTCTAGCTTTGATGTCATGGAGAGTTCTGCCTACATTTTCCTCTATGTACCTCATGGATTTATGTCTCATATTGAGGTCTTTAATCTACTTTCATTTGACTTTTGTGCCTGGCATTAGACAGGGGTCAGTGTTCATTTTTTTACAGATAGCTATCCAGTTTTCCCAGCACCACTTGTTGAAAAGGCTTTTCTTGTTCCACTTCACATTTCTTGCTCCTTTGTCAAAGATTAAGTGGTCGTATATTTGGGGGTCTGTGACAGAATACTCAACTCTGTTCTATTGGTCTGCAGATCTGTTTCTAGCCCAGTACCATGTTGTTTTAATTACTACTACTTTGTAGTACAGTTTGAAGTTGGGGAGGGTGATGCCACCCATCTTTTTTCCCAAGGATTGCTTTAGCTGGGAAACCTGCCTCATGAGCAAAGGGGAGGCAGCTGGAATAGAGAAGGGATCACTAAGAAAATGATGGCTTGAGGAACCAGTCGGGATGGGAGATGTGTGCTGAAAGTAGATAAAGAACCAAAAATCATAACCTCTCAGTTGTCTGTATTGCAAACCATAATGTCCAAAAGTAGAGAGAGATTATGGGAAATATTGCCTGCCATGGAGAAAGGGGGAGGGTGGGACAAGGGGGGTAGGGAAGTATACTGGGGATATTGGTGTTGGGGAATGTGCACTGGTGGAGGGACGGGTGTTTGATCATTGTGTGATTGTAATCCAAACACAAAAGCTGTAACTATCTCACGGTGATTCAATAAAATTTTTTTTAAAAATGTCAGCCCCAGTGTTTCATGTCCCTTATTCTTTATCTTTCCCTGTTCTCTTTTTCATCATTGCCCTTTTTTTGTTCACTTTCTCTATGATGTAAATTGGACCTCAATTATTTTAACAATTTCATTTTCCTTCTATTTCACATGTGTTCTATCTATAGAGAAAGGTTTAACTTCTCCATTCACTATTGTCTGAGCTTTTTTTTCTCTTCTACCATAAGTTCATGGGAAATCTAGGAAAACTTGAATTATAAGTAGCCAATTGGTGTACCTCATCTTTATTTATTAGTTTTACTCATCTAAACAGGGCACCAAAATTCTCTGGGGGATTAATTCTGCTACTCCCAAGGTGCAAGAAATAAACTGCATAAGATTCCCTGAGAGTTAAAACTATTGCAGTGATAACTTGGAAATAACCAGCTACAACTGCTCCCAGGAGGCCCAAGAATTTGTTAATTATCACTGTTTAATTTATCTAAAAGACTCCAACTGAATGCCCAACTGGATTGTGAATATAACCCCGAAAGAAGCAAAAGATCTTTAAGGAAACAAATAAACAATACTTTGGCCTGTCTAAAAAGGCAAGCTAAATTCCTCTCATTCAACTTGTTTCTGGTTCCCCCTAAGGAAAAGAGAAGGAGAATCTCTGAACATGACTTTAAGCAAAAGTGAGGCTTTCCCTGAAGAGTAAGTCATACTTCTGGAGGAGAACACAGCCAAAAATCTGCAGGGAAGTAGCTAGCATTGCCGTCCCAGAAAAATGAAGAATAAAAGATTTCCTGGGGAATTACCCTGACAAAATGGATAAAGATGCTCTGACAAGTGAGAAGCGGAGTTTCTAGGCTGGGGAGATAGCTCAACGGAAATGCCTGTCTGGCAAACACAAAATCTCATCTTCTATTGCTATTAGTGTATCTTTGCCAGCACTGTCAGGTATAGCCTTGGTAGGTCCTGAGAACTGTTAGGCATGTTTCTGGTGACCTCCAGCACCACATGGGAGGCTCTCTGCAGAGTCCCAGATCCATCAGGGTTAAGGATCAGGGCAGATCATTGGGACCAGATCATCAGTTCATGGGTTCTCCCCTCCCTTTACTAATTGTAGAGCACCTGATCCAACTCAGGAGTCTGAACCCAGGAGTCAAGGCAGGCAAAGGAGGAGACCAGTCATGAGGGAGGAATCAAACATGAGTGACATCTGCTCTTTTGCTCTTTAGCAGTCTTGGGGCTGTCCTTGATCTCACGGGCTGGGGAGTCTATGACTACTAGACTCTCCCCAGGCTCTGGGGATGTGGAGTAGCAGAACCCTTAGCCCACAGGAGTGATGGAGGTTCCTCTGCCCTCTTTCTCTGAGAAAATTTCAATTACAAGTCTCTCCGAGAAGCCTCCCTCTGGGAGCTCACCTTGGCAACTCACCATTTAATGCCATTGCTTTGCCTTTCCTCTCTGTTCTGGCGTTCTGTTTCCCCAAACTGTATCTAGTTGCTGGGGTTTGTGGCTGTGCTGATTTGCTCTCTCTGCTCTTGTTTCCTGTTGGGTCTCAGGGTAGTGGTGGCCTCTTCTCCCCAGGCTCTATGGACTCTACTGTGGTTGAGAGCAGCATCGGCACAACCACACCCTTCAGCTCACTGGGCCCTGCCAACTTGGTCACTCAGGGGTTCCTCCTCCCACCTCAGTCTTTTCTATGAGTTCTTCTACTAGACATAAATTCAGGCTGACCACTAGGACTCTCCTTCCAGACACTCACACCAGTCAGCTACTCAAGTGCTCACGGGCTTACTGTTTTCCTGGATCCCTATCTTCAAGGTCCCACCGCTTTGCCTGAATCAAGGACTCATTCCCATGCTGGACTCGCCAAATGTGCTACCAGACACATCAGCCCTTCAAGCCATAGTCCTAACTGCTCACTGTGAAAGAAAATTCTTATACTGCCTCCAAAACCCTAACATTATATCAAGAAAATAGTTTCTATCCAATGCTCTAGGAAGACAGTGCAAGGCACAGGGCACGGAAATTCCACTCGAGTGTTAGAACACATCCCCAGCTCCTGTGAGGTCCTGGGCTGAATCCCCCACACAATGTGCCCCTAGCATGGCTAGCGGTGATCCTGGTGGCCTCTGCCATTCTGTATGTTTGCGCATATACTTTGTATGTAGGAGCAATTATGGTCTTAAGTGCATGTTTTAGATGAAAAGGAAAATAAAAATGTGTACCCAGTATCTAATTTTTTTAATTTTATAAGAAAACAGTATTCCATAGTGTAGTTATACCAAAGTTTCTTTAACCAGTCGTCTGTTCTCGGGCAATCGGATTTTTTCCAGATTCTGGCTATTGTAAATAGTGCTTCCATAAACATACAAGAGCATATGTCATTTCCACTGTACTTTTTTGCATCTCCAGGATGTATTTCCAGAAGTGGTATTGCTGGGTCAAATGGGAGCTCAATTTCTAGTTTTTTGAGAAAGTTCCATATTGTTTTCAAAAGACTGGACCAGTCGGCTTCACTCTCCTTCAGCAGCAGTGAAGGAGAGTTCCTTTTTCCTTGCATTTATGCCAATACCAATTGTTTGGGGACTTTTGGATGTATGCCTATCTCTGTGGTATGAGATGATATCTCATTGTTATTTTGATCTGCATCTCCCTGATGATTAGAAACAATGAAATCATGAAATTTGTATATAAGTAGGTCAACATAGACAGTATCATACTAAGTGAAATGAATCAGAAAGAGAGGGACAGACATAGAATGACTGCGCTCAT